CCACAATACCACTTCTGAGAATATATCCCAGATGCAAGAAAGCACAGTAGAAAGGACATCTGTACCTATATGTTCATTGCAGCACTGTTCACAATAGCCAAAATCTGGAAACAAGCCAAGTGCCCTAGAACAGATGACTGGTTAAAGAAACTTTGTTAACATCTACACAAGGAATACTATGCAACTGTCAGGAGAGATGAAGTCATGAACTTTGCTTATAAATGGCTAGACATGGAGAGTATCATGCTAAGTGAAATGAGTCAGAAAGAGAGGGACAGACATAGAAGAACTGCACTCATTTGTGGAGTATAAAACAACATAACATGAGGCTGACACCTAAGGATAGTAGATACACAGGACAGATAGACTGCTCCATAGCCTGCCTCATGAGCAAAGGGGAGAAGGCAGCTGGAATAGAGAAGGGATCACTAAGAAAAAGATGGCTGGAAGAATCGGTCGGGATGGGAGATGTATGCAGAAAGTAGAAAAAGGACCAAACATGATGAGCTCTCAGTGTCTGTATTGCAAATCATAATGCCCAACAGTAGAGGGAGAGATTATGGGGAATCATGTCTGCCATGGAGGCAGGGGGAGGGTGGGAAACGGGGGGTATACTGGGGATATTGGTGGTGGGGTGTGTGCACTGGTGGAGGGATGGGTATTTGATCATTGTGTGATTGAACCTAAACATGAAAGCTTGTAATTATCTCACGGTGATTCAATAATTTTTTTTTAAAAAAAGAAAAATATGTCTTCCCAGAACCCCTCACCCCCAAACTCCCCATCACTATCCCCTCCATTCCAAGGAAACCCCTCTGGCAGTATTATTTGCCCAAGCAATAGCACAGCGGGTAGGGCGTTTGCCTTGCATGCGACCGACCTGCGGACCCAGCCAACCAAAGTTCGATTCCTCCACCCCTCTCAGAGAGCTCAGCAAGCTACCGAGAATATCTCGCCCACACAGCAAAGCCTGGCAAGCTACCCATGGCATATTCGATATGACAAAAACAGTAACAATAAGTCTCACAATGGAGACGTTATTGGGCCCGCTAGAGCAAATCGATGAACAACGGGAGGACAGTGCTTGCTTGCTTGCTTGCTTGATTTATCAAATGCAATGGACTGGTTGGATACTCATTAAGAACCTTTATGTATCATCTAAAAATGTTTAGTAAATGTGTTCTTGATAACTCTGATACTTCCTCCTTATTGTTTTCTGACCCTTGAAACCAGTCTCTATTGCCTGTTTCTTCTTCTGTTACCCTTTTCACATTTGTTCATGTACTGAGTTATTACCCTCTCCTTCCCCCATTTTTCATTAGTATTTATTGATCTTTCCATAGCTATATATTTTTCGTGAATCATAAGCTATATGCCCTCTCATTAGAAAAAGAAATGGATTAGCTTATACATACACACACACACACACACAATTTTTACAAAACTTTATCCCTTCTCCTAAGGTCCTTTGTGAATTCCGCACTAAGGAGTTTCTATTGAATTGGGGTCAAAGATCAGTATCAGACAAGGTCAACTGTCTTTGCATCCAAAGTCTAAATATAGGAACATTTTTCCTCAGTTTACCTTTCCCCCTAACCCCAAAGCCTAACCCTTTATTTTGTTTAGGTTTGTCTACAAACCTAAGGTTGGAATATGATTCAGGGGACCAGCCAACGAGGAGATTTTATTGTTTATTCTGGTACCCAGTAGTCTGTTGTCCACCCTTCCTTCCTTGTTTTTTCCCTAGAAAAACTTCTTGTCACTGTGTAGAAAAAAGATGGCTCGTTTGAGGACATGAGTTTGTCATCCAACCTGTCTGCAGATTGCTAATAAAGCTCTTTCTCCTAGTTAGTCACTATGTTTCTCACTCATTAGAACCTTGAGTGAAACTGAACTTTGATGGTAATATAACTATTACCTATTTGTCAATGACCCTCAAGCTTCTGTGTGCCCTATAAACCACTTCCTAAAAAAGTAGGCTGGGGGAGATGTCGTGGATGTGTTGCATGTGACAACACGGGCTGGATCTCAGTACTTCACAGTACCCCAAATACTGCTAGAAGGATTCACTCCACCACCTAACCAGGAGGTACATTATAAAATCCAACCCAACATCCCCCCACCAAAAAAGACCTACTTTCACAGGAGTACTGACAATGCCACATGAGCACGCCTCGGGCATCAATATATCCTAAACTAAACTTTATTAATTTCTTCTAAAACCTGTTCTCCTCAAGAAAGACAATACCATGGGAAAGAGAATAAAATATTTTAAAACCTAACAAACCTAAATCCAAATCGAGCCCTGGAAATGTCAGTAAAAGACTTAACCTCTTTGTGTATTAAATTCTTCATCTTTAGCATGATAATAAGACCTCCATTTCCTTTTTGTTCTAAGAATTAAAAGACAATGGGAATATCTCTCTCCAAGAGTCACAGCATAGCATATAGTCCACAAGTACTGATATTACTGGATTTCTACTCTCAGAGCATATGCATATATCTCTGTTCACAAAGTATCCCAGGCAAACTATTTAGATGTCATGCTCAATTTGTGCCCTTTTCCTAATCTGCAACAAATTAATGGATGAGTCATGTCAATTCTCAGCATTCTATGCCTTTAGTTCATGCTCCAAATCTTCTTTCTCATAAATACAGCAATAGTCACTTATCCAGTTAGTCCCATTCTGATGCCACATTTTTCCAACCACCCATCCTTGACACCACAAACAGGGATATTCCCAAACATAAATTCGATGATGCATGACTATTCTTGAATTTGCACCATTGGACTCATTATTTCTGGGGCTATCTGCACCTAGGGCTATAACCTGACCTCTGTCTACCTATAACTCATTGCCTTGATATTTAATAGATACTCCTGAACTGTCCATAATGTCCTCAATTCCATAACCTTGGCAAACTGCTTTCTTTGCCTGAAATTTTCTCTCCACAACTGTGATGATTCTGTTCCATTGCCACTCAAGAGACCATCAAGGGTGAGGCATGGTGATGGATTGAGAAAGCATTTCATTAGCAACAAGTTGACAGGTTGGAAGATGGTGGGCTTATGCCCTCGAAATAACCATGCTGTTTTCATGGTCACAAGAAGCAGTTTTACAGGAAAATAGAATACCGAAGCACATTTTCAGGAAGAGTGGATTTACAGATGGTGGGCATCACAGTGATCAATAAATTCAATCAAGCTGACCCCCTGAGGCCCACACTTCAATGTGACTGCAAATCAAGAGTTCTGATTAAAGCGTCCATCCTCTTATCCTCCAGGAAAAGATAAGGGGGATAGTCTCTATATTTTTAACTGCACAGATTTTCTGATTTCTAATATTGGATTCAGCTCTGAATTTCTTTGGGCCAGCTTCAATGAGTCTGTTTCTTTTCTTGGCCTTCAGGTAAACACCTAGCCATCTTTCAAAACAGTTCAAACATAATTGCTAAGACTTTGAAGTTATTCCTGACAGCCTTCTGCCACAACATTGATCCCTGGTGCCTTTTATCTCACATCGGTCCCTGACATGATTTTCTATTGTGATATAACAAATAACATATGGTTTCTGAAGCTTATAATCATCATTTGTCTAGAAAGCATCTTATATAAACTGAACAAGTGATCAAATAGAGAAGTTGAGAAGTGTGAAAAAAAAACATAAATTGTAGCTAACTTCAACACTCTGCATAAGTGGTCCCCCTTTGCAGAAATACTCTATGATTTCCCAAGCTCTGAATTCTGTATGCATATATAGTTACTATACTATGTATACTATAGTATACATATAGTATACATACTATACTATATGTTTGTTATATGTGGTATAGTTATACTATATATTAGCACAGCGGGTAGGGCGTTCGCCTTACAAGCGGCCAACATGGCCAACCCGAGTTCGATTCCTCCGCCCCTCTCGGAGAGCCCGGCAAGCTACCGAGAGTATTGGATATGCCAGACACAGTAACAACAAAGTCTCCAATGGAGACGTTACTGGGCCCGCTCGAGCAAATCGACGATCAACGGGAGGGCCTTTACCTTAGTTATACTATGTACTAACTCATTTCATCTTCACAGTCTGTGAGTGTAAGGTGGGCAGTAATATTGTCCCAGTTTTAGAAGGGCATCAACAAAAAACATCAAGAGAAAAAATTTGCTAAACAGGACCCAAATGCAAACATAACTAGAAATAAGGTATGAAATTCAGTCACACACACACACACACACACACACACACAAAGAAAGGAAAAGAAAAACCCACTTTGAAATGAAAATTAAAGCTATATACAGTTGTTCGATTTAAACGTATTGAGTATACCAAGTGCCTAGCACTGTATCACTGTCCTCCCGTTGTTCATCCATTTGCTCAAGTGGGCACCAGTAACGTTTCACAATAAATTGTGAGACTTGTTGCTACTGTTTTTGGCATATTGGATACACGACGCGTAGCTTACCAGGCTCTACCGGCAAGCTACCGAGAATAGCTTGCCGGGCTCTCCCAGAGGGGCGGAGCAATCGAACCTGGGTCGGCCTCGTACAAGGCAAACGCCCTACCCGCTGTGCTATTGCTCCAGCCCTCAAGTGCCTATTAGGTTTGTTTGTTTGTTTGTTTGTTTGTCAGTAGTACTCTGTACTAAAAAAAAAATAAGCTGGTGAAAAGTAAACCAGATCGGAGACGGTATCTCCAGGGGGAACGAAGGACGTCTTGGGGTAAGGGGACTTCATCACTCATCCTAAGGATCGCGTGAACTAATCAAACAGCTCAGAGAACTGCTGCTGGGAGCCTAAGTCAGCCAGCTAGCTCAGAGGTCGGCAGGCAGCCACCAGGGCCCCGCCCCAGCCCTTCCCCCAGGGCACCGCGGGAACCACCCGGTACGCAGGCGCATCGGCCGCTCGGCGCTCGGCCTCGACGCGCGCGGAGGCGACTGGTCTGGCCTGGTCGCGCCTGCGCTGACGTCGCCTCGCCCCTCCGCCGCCGCCGCCGCCGCCGCCCCCGCCGCCGCCATCTTGACGGCGGGAGGAGTGCTGCTGTGGCAGTGCGGGAGGCGGCCCGGCTCTCCGGTACGGCAGCTTCGCGCCCGCTCGGCTCCTGCAAGCCCGCGTTCCCGGGGTCGCTTGTTCCCCCATCCCGGCGCCGGGCCGCGGGGCTCGGCGGGCGCCTTTTGTCCCGCAGCCTTCGCTGGGGTGGGGGACGCCGCCTCCCGCCGCCCCCTCGCTCGGCCCCGGCCCCGCCCTCGCCTGGCGTCGTTTCCCGGGGCCCCGAAATGCCCCCCAGAGCGCAGAGAGGGGTCGGGGCGAATGCCAGCCTCGTCGGGTTGGGGGTGGGGCGGGCGGGCGGGGAACGCCGCGGGGTCGGGGAGGGGGTCCTGCAGCTGTCCAGGGACCCTCCCCCGCAGCGATCAGCTGGCCAGATCTAACCCGCCGCGGGCTTGTCTTGTTTTGTTTTGTTTCTGCCCTCCCCTCCCACCTAGGAATCACTTAAGCCCCGGGAGAAGCGCTTTTGCGCCCACCCCTGTGCTCCAGAAATGGCCAATGTAAGTAAACCCGCCTTGGGGAGACGCTGGTCGCGGGGCGGCTGGCAAGGGCCTGGAGGGACCCCGGGGCGACTGCGAAGTCGCGGGTGACCCCACGTTCCACGTTGCACCACCAGCGCCCGGGGACGCGCGGGTTGGGAAACTTGGCCCCCGCCGGTGCCCAGACGGACAGCTGGCCTTGCCAAACCCGGGCCAGCGCGTATGTTGGCAGGGTGCTGGTTTAAACTGGTTTTTCTTCCTACCACCCTCCCCCCACCCCAGCACACACACACACTTTTTATAACTCTTAGGACGGGAAGCAACCTTCCCGATTCTCTTGCCAAGCGGGACCTGAGGATATTTTAGGGGACACTCATCACCGCAGGGATTCGTGCGACCACTCCCCCATCGGGAGTACATACACGTCAGAGCTCAGGCGGACACTAAAGTAGCTACAGGAGAGTTGCAAGTACTCATTAAAAAATAATGAGGGGCTGGAGCCAGAGCACAGAGTGTAGGGTGTTTGCCTTGCACACGGCCCACCCGGGTTCGATTCCCAGCATCCCATATGGTCCCCCCCACCCCAGCACCGCCAGGAGTGAGTCCCTGAGCGCGGAGCCAGGAGTAACCCCCGTGCATCCCCAGGTGTGACCCAAAAAGCAAAAAATAAATAATGGAGCTATGTCAAGGTGCAATGGAGATTTCACAGCGGGGTGTGGAGAGCGCTAAAAGAGGGGGTTCAGGTCACTTCCCTTTGAGAGACATTCCATTTGAGTGGTGAAAGCTGGGAAATTCTTAGAACTCTGGGGGTTGGGTGAGTCGAAACAGGAAACTGCTTCCTCCAAGAACAGAAAACCCGCTGAGGGGATGGAGAGAAAAAAGATTGCACTGTGAAGTTGGGGCCTTGGATGCCAGGCTCAGCCATGTAGAAATGTTCGATTGTGATAAGCAGATCTCTGCATTAGGAAGAGTTAACACTAACTCTGCTTAGTGTTAGAATAACAACACTTAGCTGGCATACCTGGAATACCTAATGAAATGTTAAGTCAAAGTCCACCGTAGCTGTCAGGTCCTAGGGAACCTTAACCACTAACTTTGGCCTTTTCTTGTTCCTCTTTTTCTCTCGTTTCTTTCCATTTTTGGCTTTTGGATTACACCCTGCTGTGCTCAGGAAACTGCGCCCTGCCCAATGGGATGGAACTAGTCTCCTGAGTGCCCACTAACCTTTTGAACCATTTCCCCTGCTCCCTGTTGGCAGTGTCTGTAGCTGGAAAGTTGACCTAGCCATAAACACAGAAAGGGAATGTGGGAATGTTTGACGAATACCTAAAAATACGTGTGAACCCTTTCGTTGTTAGCAGTTCATATGCAGTAATTTTGGTATTTTTTATAGTCAAATACTTTTTTTAAAACTTGAAGTTTTATGAATTGTAAATCCTGACTGGCATTTAGAAATAATGTGTGTAGATTAGCAATTTTTTTTTTTTTGCTTTGCTTTTTGAGTCATACATGGCAGTGAATGCACAGGGGTTACTCCTGGCTCTGCACTCAGGAATTAGCTCTGGCAGTGCTCGGGGGACCATATGGGATACAGGGAATGGAACCAGAGTCAGCCGGTGCAAGGCAACCTCTCTACCCGCTCTTCTGTTGCTCCAGTCCCAGATAGCATTTCTTGAACAGTTGAGTTAGTAAACATAGGCAAGGATCATAAATGTCCACATATCAGAGACCAGACAGAAGTTAATGTGTGGGGACTTTGACAAATCAAAATTCACCTTTCTGAAATAAAGAACTGCCCCTTAGCTACAGGCATCTGTCCCTAGTGCTTTTTGTTAACATATATTTAGTGCTTCTGGAGCTGGAGCGATAGCACAGCGGGTAGGGCATTCGCCTTACACGCGGCCAACATGGCCGACCCGAGTTCGATTCCTCCGCCCCTCTCGGAGAGCCCGGCAAGCTACCGAGAGTATTCGATATGCCAGACACAGTAACAACAAAGTCTCCAATGGAGACGTTACTGGGCCCGCTCGAGCAAATCGACGATCAACAGGAGGGCCTTTACCTTTACCTTTACCTGGATTTTTAACAACAACCCAGAATCTGAACTTTTTGTATGAAATCCTAGTTTGCATTGATAGTTCATACTTCTCAGAAAATGCCACAGAAGAAATGATAAACAATACAGCTAGATTTTGTAGAAAGTTATTTTCAGACTTTTGTATTTACCTTTTTTTTAGATTTTTATTAGTGAAACACCATGAGTGTATTTACCATATTTTCTCCTTCATGAACAGAAGTAGTTGTTAGTCTTAAGACAATATCTGAAAGATTGCTCTAAATCCTAATAACCTATTTCAAGTTTAGAATTCTAAATGTCTTTGATGTTAGCCATGTAAGATACATACTTTAAACTGCCTATTTTAATTTTTGAGCTGTTTGGTTTTATGTCATCTGTAATCACCCAATGCCCCCATGTCATAAAATCTTTCGAATTTGTGCAGTGTTCCATTTCCACGGCACATAATTTGAAAATCATGTAGGTCAAAGAGTCGAGTTTGATACAAATTAGAACTGTCACCATCAATCTCTCTAGCAGGCAAATTAAGTACTGGTTTGTTTTCCCGTAAAAATGAAATTTGATAGACTCTTACACTGGGAACAGAATTCATAATTTATTATTTCACTTTAATTAAAAGTCTTACCAGTCAGAAGAAAGATCAAAATGGATCTAGTGCGTTGGTATGGGAGGCTAAAATAATATGAATGACAAGCAGCAGGCTCCAAAATAATTCAGGAAAGCCTCCCTTCTATGTTTGCCCATGAGGCAATGTAAAGAATCAAAAATTACAATTAATAATAAATTGTTAAACCAATGTCAATAATGGCTTATAAATTTATAGAACTTAGCTTAAAAAATAGTACATACAAAGATTTAACACAGGACTAGGGATCTAGTAATTAACATCTATTGGTTAAATGCTTTTTATTGCTCCATTCAATTAATCTTACTGAACTTATTATTTGCCTTTATCAAAACATTTTTAGAATTTGGCATTGCCTTTGGATCCTGAGGCATATTCTATTAAATGTCATTAGTTGTTAGGTAAATATAAATTGTAAAAATACTTCTGCAGCACATATCTAGTAGGTTGTTTTAAGTGTGTGTGTGTGTGTGTGTATGTATACATGTGTATATATATACACACACACACACACACACATACATGGGCTGGAGCAATAGCACAGCATGTAGGGCATTTGCCTTACACGCGGCTCACCTTGGTTCGACTTCTCTGCCCCTCTCGGAGAGCCCAGCAAGCTACCGATAGTATGTCGGCAAAGTCTGGCAAGCTACCCATGACGTATTCGATATGTCAAAAACAGTAACAACAAGTCTCACAATTTGTTGTGGGACGTTACTGGTACCTGCTTGAGCAAATTGATGAACAACGGGAGGACAGTGCTATATGTATATACTTACCTTTTTTGACTCTAGGCAGGCTGGATCCAGAACCCAAGGATGTGGTTGAGGTTTTAGTAGGTATCTGCAAAGTGCCTTGTCGTACTTTACAGACACTTAGGGAGGGTAGATTTGTCCAAGACTTGAGATTGAGTTGAAATTGCTTGGCCCAAAGGAGAACAAAGGGGCATTTTAGCAGAAGAAATCTTGTGACATGAAGGAAGGCAGAGAAGTATGGGAGTGGTGGGTTTATATTTTATGTTACTAAATACTACAGTAATAACATGAGGGATTTTATGACAGCCAGTGGGATATTCTCTTATAAAATAAAAAAAAAATAAAATCTGAACAAACACCTGGATTGGATGATGTCTGGGTACTCTGCTAAAGTGAAAAAGTTCCAAAGTGTCAAATTGCTGAACTGTTTTAACTACTCATGACATGTTTTCACACTGTTCTCTACAGTGCCCCTGTGGGTACATTCCTTCAAACAGTGGTTCTTAACCGTTTATAACTGCATACTGACGAGGGTCCCAGTAATTGAAAAATATCTGTCTTATGCTTTCCTTATTTTTTGTCACTTTACTCCTCACTGCTTCTGGATGAATTTTCTGACTGTCTTGATGTAACAAGTTCTTTGGGTTTCTGGCAGCTGTTGTCCACAAGTTAACTTTCAAGCCTATTTTTAACTGTATTCCCTATGTCTACCCTCTCTCATCCTGTAAGTTCTCTAAATAGATCTTTTTGACTGTACTCTCTGTTCCTGAAAGTCACTCATTCAAATGCCCTTTCCTTAGCAAAGGTTTTCAAATTTTTCATGTTTTTATGAAATTTTTCCAACTTCCCCAAAGATTGTTGAATTGTTGAAATATTTTAATAGCACTTCATAAATTCATGGCATTTGCTTTACAACTTCCTGTAACCTGCTTCTCATACTATGCAACTCACATCCCTCTTAAGCCATATACCTGGCCCTGATCATAGGTCTGTTCCACTAAGAATTAGCAGTTATATTCTGACATAAAGGACCAGAGAGTGAATGCTTTTTGATTTGTGAGATATAGGATCTCTAGGAAATTACTGTTAGGGACAGATAATACATAAATGTTTGTAGCTATAGTAAAATCTTAATTTATCAAAATGAATAGCAGGATGTATCCTGGCATATTTTGGCAATCCCTATATTGTTCCAAGAAGTATTAAACTAAAGCTTTATGGATGAATCTGCCATGGATGCACATACTCCATTGAAACTCCCCAGAGTCTAGGAAATAGACATAGCTGCAGAAAATGTGTCACATACTGAAATAAAATCAGAGAAAGTGGACATTGCCAAAAGGGAAAGAGGAAAGATGATATGGGAGACAATTATCATAATTCATAGCAGTAAAGAACAAGAGAAGAATCTATAAAATAGAAGGGTTTTGTTCAACAGGGAGTTATTGAAGAAACTTTTAAGGACAGAAGAATCTTACTGTTTATTCTGCATTTTTAGTGTTATTGCTAAATAGGGCAATTTTGAGAGAGTTACATTTTCCCTGGAGCGATAGCACAGCGGGTAGGGCGTTCGCCTTACAAGCGGCCAACATGGCCGACCCGAGTTCGATTCCTCCGCCCCTCTCGGAGAGCCTGGCAAGCTACCGAGAGTATTCGATATGCCAGACACAGTAACAACAAAGTCTCCAATGGAGACGTTACTGGGCCCGCTCGAGCAAATCGACGATCAACGGGAGGGCCTTTACTTACTTACTTACTTTACATTTTCCCTAGTCTGGCAGTCTTGATTCTTCCTGAAAAAAACACACCTCTACACCAAGTTACTGTTTTTTAAAATAGCTACATAAGTAGGTATAGTACTTGTCTGTGGTAAGTGCTAAGTAACAGTAGAATAAATATTAGTCTTAAAAACCACATTGCATTGTGAAATTTGCTAGAGGTTATGCAAAATAACATAAGCAAGTAATGTCAATTTTTTTTTCTCGTTTATAGGTGCTCTGTAACAGAGCCAGATTGGTTTCCTATCTCCCAGGATTTTGCTCTTTAGTTAAGAGGGTTGTCAGTCCTAAAGCCTTTTCAACTGCCGGGTCTTCATCCGGTTCTGATGAATCTCATGTGGCCCCTGCTCCCCCAGATATTTGTAAGTAAAATTTTAATTGCATTAAAATTGCCTCATAGTACTTTGAATTGTATTTCAGTTTCAGTAATACTTTTCGTTTATATTTAAAGTTGTATATATGCCATTGGTAGTGATAATAGGGTTCTGCCATATGTCTGTATCTGAATGCTACGATATAAAATTAAATATATTTTCTTGAACTTTTAAATTTACTCATCCTCATGATACTATTAAACTTTATTACTTCTTTTTTCTGAGTTTTTTTTCCCTTTTTCCCCCAGTGTCAACGATCAGACCTCATGCACAAATGAGGAGAACAATAGTCTCAGTCACTAAAAAATTCTTAAATGTAGCTGACATTATTTATTAGTATTTATTGAATCATAAATTTCAACTTTCTAAAATTCTACTCTCTCCAGTGTATTTTCCATACTACTGTATTCTTAAATCATACCAAAATATTTAATCATGTAATTTCCTAGATAAACATTGCTTATCTCTCACTGCTTTCAATAATCATTCCCAAATTATCTTCAAGCTATGACTCATTACTCAGTATCTTTAAAAAAAAATTTATGACTTGTGTGATTAGACCAATTGAGAAATGATCCATGTTGTGTTTTATTTCTGTGTTGGAGGTTTATTATATTTATGTTTAACACTACTATATTAAAGGTATATTCTTAGGAATTTAACTTTATGTGTACTAAAGAGATTATCCCTAAATAAAATAAAAATAGTATGTTTTTATTAATATCAGTTTTATTAGTATAGAAGAGAAATGTCATTTGTTATTCTTTGACTTAGCTTTTTCTTTTTATGTAATATCCCTAGATAGCCTTCATTCTAGGTACAATAAAGATTCACCATACTTAATATAATTATCAAGCATTATATTTTATGAATTGTAATACTTTACTTATTCCTCTAAAAGTGGACTTCTTTGTTGTTTTGGAAATGACATGAGACTTAATATATTCACTCAGGAAAATAATTTTCGAAGACACCATTTTGGTGTTTAAAAAAAATTAACTGTCAGAAGAACGTTCGTTCAGTGTACCTGCTAATTGGAAAATGACTCGTGTTATTATTCCTCTTCAGGCTCTCGAACAGTCTGGCCTGATGAAACTATGGGACCGTTTGGACCTCAGGATCAGAGATTTCAGCTTCCTGGGAATATAGGCTTTGATTGTCACCTCAATGGGACCTCATCACAAAAGAAAAGCCAGGTTCCTAAAACTTTACCTGATGTGCTAGCAGAACCTTTGTCAACTGAAAGACATGAGTTTGTGATGGCACAGTATGTGAATGAGTTTCAGGCAAGTTGCTTATGTTCTGTTTTTCTGATAATGCTGTTAATTTTTGTTTACTATGAGCATATTATTTTTATTGAAGAGGTTAAAAGAGACTTCATGCCTGTATACACAAAACAACCTACCAATCTACATGGCTTCTGAAATTTGGGCATTATACTGTAATGTTTGCTTTGTAATTTTTTCTTAATTTTAGATTGCAGTCTCCAGGTAATTAAATACTTGAAAAATATCTCCTTTAGTAACTACTTACTTCAAATAGAGATGATTTGATTATATTGCAAATTCAGATTCCCTGTTTTTTTACTTTTATATATAGTAATTATAATTTACATATCGACCTAATTCAGACTCAAACTTGTATGATCGTCCGGCATTTAGAGACTTGAGAGCTCTGAAATTCTTCAGATAACATATCTGAAGTAGAAACTTTGTAAGTAGGGCTTTATCTTTTTGCTGTTTGTTTTGGGGACCATACCAGCCAGTGCTTAAGCTTATTCCTGGCTTGCCCTCAGAAATCACTGCTGGTGGTACTGGGAGCCATATGAAGTACCAGGGATTGAACCCAGGTTCAAGTCAAGCATCCTACTCACTCTACTATTGCTTTGGCCCTTAAAATAAGATTTTTTTAAGGCTATTTCTAACACATATGTTAAATGAGTTTATAATATTGGTATTTAAAAATGAATTTTTATTTTTGGTTTTGGGGTTACACCCTGCACTGTTCAGGGCTTACTCCTGGCTCTGCACTCAGGTATCATTCCTAGTGGGGCTCTGGGGACCAAATGGGGTCTCTGGGATGAACTTGAGTCGGCTGCATGCAAGGCAAGTGCCCTACCCACTGTACTATCTTTCCATCCCTCACAGAGACGGGGGAATGGGGGGTGGGAGGGACACTGGGATCAGTGGTGGTGGAAAATGGGCACTGGTGGAGGGATGGGTACTTGATCATTGTATAATTGAAACCTAAGCACAAAAATTTGTAAGTCTACAACTGTGCCTCATGGTGTTTCACTAATAAAAATTGAAAAAAAAAAAAGACAGAATCCAGAAATAGGGGGGAAATAAATAAATAATGAATCACCATTAACTTGAGTAGTAAGTTAACATGCAATTCCATGTTTCTTTGAAGCCCCTGGCCTGTCAAAATTATTATAACCAATGTTGGAGCATAGTTGGAGCATAGTTCACCCCCTTTATGTTTTGTTGTTTTGGGGATTTGGGGCCACAACCAGCTGTACTCAGGGCTTACTCCTAGCTCTTTGCTGCGGGATCACTCCTGGCAGCCTTTGGATCATTTGGGGTTCCAGAGATTGAACCCAGTTCTGTTCCTTGCAAATGCAGCAGCTTACCCACTGTGCCACTATGCTATTTCTCCAGTCCCTCTTTCAGCTTTTCATCTCAGATGGCCCCTCTTGTCTGCCTACTTATTTCTCATGTTTCAGTTCATCTTTCTTGAGTTGGTCACCAATACTCTTGGCTTCTTCCATAGAGTGCAATTTTTTGGTTCCTGATTTACTAATTTTGTTTCTATTTTTAAGTTTTTGGACCACATCCAGTTGTGCTTGTGGTGCTTCTCCCAGCACAGCACAGGGCATTACTCCCACTAGGGCTCTGGGGACAGTGTGAGGTCCAACCCTGTACTCCTGCATGCAAAGCACTTGCACCAGTCCCTTGAACTATGTCCATGGCCCAGTGATTGAATTATTAATAATTTTGATTTGCATTTCTCTCTGCCTACTGAATTTTCTCTTATGGACGATCTCAGACTTTGCTATGGATGATCTCAAGAGCTCTCAGACTTTGAGTGTGTCTGATACTGATTCGTCCTTGTTTCTCTCAAAATCTCTTTACTCCCACATTTTCAGCATTCTAATTTAGATATCTTGTGCTCTTCCAGGAAAAAAAATGACAGTATCACTATCTGCAATAGTAATTTCCATTTCTAAATAAATGATTTGTGTTCTTTCAGTTTTTATTATTAATATTGCTGGAGTTCTAGATCTCCTTATCTTACCTCGATTTGGGGGAGTATTTAGTATAATGGACTGTGAAGATAGGGTAAATCTGAGTGCATAGGTTAGCTCATGGTAATTTATTTTGTGTGACCTTACAAAAGTTATTACATGGTCTCTCTAAGCAGATGTGTCCTTATATGTAATTATTTGAGCTCTATCCTACAGATTTGCTATGAGGATTAATGTGGAAAAGGTGTATAACTACTTAAATACACTGAATAACCGGTAACCAATAGTTATTAATGCACCATTCTCTAACCATTGCATACCTCTGCACTTATCACTATCTCTTCCTGGACCATTTTTTCTTCTAAATCCTTAAGTTAACTCCACCTGTATCTTGCCTTTTCAGATACAGTAATTAACATAAAGTTCAAATATGGTGATTTCAGCATTTTCCTGATTTCTCCCAGTAAATAATTTTTTTCCACTTCTATACCTCCTAAGGATAGCTTAATTCTAAGGCACTTTTCACCTCAAAGGTCTTTCATTTACTTGTCATTTTCTCCTGCCAGCCTGAAGGCCACATTGTTAACATTGTAGTACCTACTTTTGTTTTCGTTTTCATTTGGAAAGTGCCACATATATTTCAGTTGAGTAAGAAAACCTCTAAGACTTTGTATAACAACGACTGTATATTATTGTCATGCTCTTTTGTAAATTATTCCTGTTTACATATTCCAGAACAAGTATTTAGGTGTAATCAGAGAGTACCGGAAGGTGTAACATTGGAGTATTTGAAACATTTTTGTTTCTTAGCCAACTTCTATTTATATCAAGTCTTAGACAACAATGTTTTGCAAAATGGTGACTGGAATGATCCAGGGGGCAATAATAACCCCTTTGTGCAATTGAAGGATGCTTCCTGTTTTTTCACTTAAAGGGAGAACACTGAGTTAGTTTGTTTAAATTCTGAAAAGGGGTTAGTCGGGCAAATAAGTGTAGGAACGTCTGTCTTCAGAATATATCTTAATATATTTCAAAAGTATGTATTTTACATTCATGTTTTTCCAGACAGGATTGTAAAATATTTTCATCATAGAGAAAAATATGAGAACATAAGAAAACACTGGCCTATCACCAGTATATTAGGATTGTTTAAAAACTTTTTAGATAAAAGTTTAATGCTGGTAAGATATTTTTATCTAAACTCCAGATTTTTGTTTACTTACATTTCTTATTTCCCCATAGGGTAATGATACACCTGTTGAACAAGAAGTTAACAGTGCGGAAACCTATTTTGAAAGTGCCAAAGTAGAGTGTGCAATCCAAGCGTGTCCGGAATTGTTGCGAAAAGGTATGTTGTGCTTTACAGACTTGACACTGACGTTTATTAGATAACACCATTAGGTTCTTAATGTTTGGACTAATATAAATTATTATTAATAATAATAATCTATATGTAACTAATGTAAACTGTTGCTTTGAAACTTAACTATCTTAGCGTACTTGGAAGAAAATTACTACACAGCCAACATAAAGACTTACGTGTCCCCTGAACATCTGACTTTAATGCTTTCAATACATTAGATAGGAAAAAAATAGCTTTAACACTTTTTAAAGACAATATGTCACCCTGCTTACTCTTAACTTTGTTGTAAATAAGACCAGAGAGGGTACAGCAAAGTAGAATATTCACCTTGCATGCAGCCCTCCCAGTTTCTATTGCCAGTGCCACATGTGGTCCACCATCTCCAGCAGGAGTGATCCCTAAGCACAGCTGGTGTGGTAAAGGTAAAGGTAAAGGCCCTCCCGTTGATCGTCGATTTGCTCGAGCGGGCCCAGTAACGTCTCCATTGGAGACTTTGTTGTTACTGTGTCTGGCATATCGAATACTCTCGGTAGCTTGCCGGGCTCTCCGAGAGGGGCGGAGGAATCGAACTCGGGTCGGCCATGTTGGCCATGTGTAAGGCGAACGCCCTACCTGCTGTGCTATAAAAAAAAAACAATTTGTTAGAAGTATTTCCATTCCATCCACTCTTTTCAAAACAGTAATGCATTTAAAACTGAACTTGAGCCAGGACAAATGAACATAATCTTTTTTTTAAAGAAGTATTTTAATACTTGCTTTTCTTTTTAAAAAAAAAATATGATTGTTTTCTCTTTCAATATGTTGTTTTATTTTCTGTATAGATTTTGAATCACTCTTTCCTGAAGCGGCCACCAACAAACTTATGATTCTGACTGTAACACAAAAAACTAAGAATGATATGACTGTTTGGAGTGAGGAAGTAGAAAATGAAAGAGAGCTGCTCTTGGAGAAGGTAATTCTTTCATTTGCTGACAGCTTATTTATAATCTTGTTTCATTTGACCATTTGTTTTGAAACTGAGTCTATTTAGCCTTTATCAGTCTTATATCAGCGTGTAAGGTGTTTGCCTTGCAAGCGGCTAACATGGCCGACCCGAGTTCGATTCCTCCGCCCCTCTCGGAGAGCCCGGCAAGCTACCGAGAGTATCTCACCCGCACGACAAAGCCTGGCAAGCTCCACGACGTATTCAGTATGCCAAACACAGTAACAATAAGTCTCACGATGGAGATGTTACTGGGCCCACTTGAGCAAATCGATGAATAACGGGAGGACCATGACCGTGATCGTGTTTTTGCACTAAAGGCCTGAATGACTTTTCTGAGAATAAAAGGATCACAAGTTTTTTAGTGTCTTTGAAAAGTACAGGTTATTTTCAATGCTTTTTTCTTTTTTCAAGTTTTTTGTGTCTGGCTGGAAGTGTGAGAAATACAGGTTGGTTTATTCTTTTAATAAAATAAAAATAACTTCATAGACATTTCTCTCCTCCTTTAGTCTTTTCTTTCTCCATCAGTTCCTTAATCATGTTAAGTAAGGGCCAGGATCAAAGGGCGGGAGTAAATGCATTACGTGAAGGAGGCCTTGGGTTTAGTTCCCAGTACCATTTGGTCCCCTGGACCTACTGTGGCCCTTTTTTTTTTTAAGGGCGGGGGCGGGAAAACCAATAATTATCCTTGTGTTCTTCAAGAAGTAAACATTAGCAGGATGTTTGTAGTTCGGAGATAATTTATTACATGCTCTTCTCTTTTTGTGCTTTGCTTTTAACCTGGAAATGTTTTAACACCTTTCTAATAAACTTTTTTTATAAAGTCTGCACAGTATTTACATTGTATGGGCAAACCAATGTTTAAATATTTTCTTGGTAATTTATAAGTTGAATATTAAACTTGCTGTTGTAGGCAGAGACTATATGAATACATATATTTTTATGCACACATTTAGATATGTTGTTCTGTAAATTCCTAAATAGTGAATTGTGTTAAGAGGTATATGCATTAAAATGATAGTGTTTTTTGATTAAAGAACTGATTTACAATGTATTAATAATTGAGTGTTAGGCATATAATATCCCAGTTAGAATCCCTCCATCAGTGTCAACTAACTTCCACCATCCCCAAACCCACTCCATCTCCCACATTAACATGACAGACACATAACAAAGGTCCACTGGTTGCATCTAAGAAGGAGATACATGCATTTTAAATTCTGGTAGATGTTACTAGTTTGCTCAACAAATATTCTATCCTGTACCCTTAGCATATTCTGGATGCTACCCTATCTAGTGATTGTTTGTACTTTTCTCTGAAAAATAGGAAATACTCTTTATTTTAAAAATTTGAAAGTTTCTTTGAAAACTTGATGTTGGATTACATGAGTTCTTTATCTACAAGATAGGAATAGTCTGCCTACATGACAAAAAGTAACTCCCTTGGGTACCTTAGCTAACAACAGTTAAAACAGTTGTTTTTACTAATTTGCATGCATGATAATGTCAGGTATCATTTTACTTTTTCATTCACATTGGATGTGTAGGTTTTTCATTTTTTCATACCTTTATAGAGGTATTTTATGATAGCCGCAGACACCTGTCTTTGTAAACTCTTGTGCTCATTCACCAATGTGGCTTGGCACAAGCCTCAGGCAACTGCAAGCGAATGTCCAAGGTGCCAAAGCAGTGCAGAGAAGCGAGAAAAGAAGACCTCAAAGAAAGAAGAGCAGCAATGCTGGCAGATGCGGCATAAGCCAGGAAAAGTATTCGCAACGCCCGCCTGTCCTTCGCCAACTACAAGACCAAGATGACTGCCCTCTGATATCCTGATGGATCTATCACATCTTCCAGAAGGGCAATGGAGAATATTATCCATGACTTCTACTTGGATCTCTTCGATAGCCACGTCTACCTGCCCACATACCAAATTCCGCAGGATGGATATGACTGCTTCAGTCTCAACAGAATCAAATGCCTTCTTTAAATCAACAAACGTTAGACAGAGCAGAATCTTGAACTTCCAAGAAACCTCAGTGAGCTTGGTTATCGTGTGGATATGTCGTTTGCAACGTTCTCCCTTCCGAAATCCGACACGCCATTTCGTCGGTAAAAAAGCGAACAGCACCCCGCCCAGACAAGGTCAGACCCGAACACCTGAAGAACCTGCCATCAGTACTTATCTGGCTCGGCTCTTCACACGCTACCTGTCTGAATGCAAGGTTCCGTCCCAATGGAAAACCAGCAGGACTGTACTACTTTATAAGAAGGGAGACATCTAGGACATGGGCAACTATTGCCCAATCTGCCTGTTGTCTGTCATCTACATGCTGTTCACTCGAGTCATCCTGAATAGGATTGGCAGAACACTAGATGAAGGACAACTATGCGAGCAAGCCGGGTTCCAAAAATGATTCAGCATAATCGACCATATCCACACAATAACCAAGCTCATTGAGGTTTCTTGGGAGTAAAAGATGCTACTCTGTCTAACGTTTGTTGATTTAAAGAAGGCCTTTGATTCTGTTGAGACGGAAGCAGTCATAGAGGCCCTAGCCAAGCAGGCCGTTCAAACTTAATACATCAGGTTCCTCCGTGAGCTGTATTATGGATTAACTACCAGGATCTCACCATTCTACAAGGAAGTGATCATGTCAAGAGAGGATTTTGGCAGGGTGATACCATTTCACCTAAACTCTTCAGTGCCACCCCCGAAAACGTCATGTTACGACTGGAATGGGAAGGAATGGGAGTGAAGATAGATGGTAGGCAACTATACCAACTCCGCTTCGCTAATGACATCATTCTAATAACACCAAACATTAGCCAATTGGCACAAATGCTGGCCAACTTTGATCGTGAGTGTGGAAAGGCCGGACTACAGCTGAATCTCACAAAGACAATGTTTATGAGAAACGGTCTCGTTCCTGACGTTCTATTTGCTCTCAATGGGACGAACACCTCCGAATGCAACAGTTACGTGTACCTAGGTTGAGAAGTCAACATGACGAATGACTTGGCACCTGAGTTGTGCAGAAGGAAGAGAGCGGCTTGAATGCCTTCAAGAACAGCAAAGAAATAGCTAAGAGGACAAAGAACCTCCGGTTCCAGGCACATCTCTTCTATTCCACTGTTCTTCCTGCATTAACATACGCCTCAGAGACCTGGGCCCTACAAAAACAGGATGAGAACGCTTTTTGGGCCTCCCAAAGAGGAATCGAAAGAGCTATGCTTGGAGTATCATGCTTCTCTCAATGAGAGAAAGAATTCGGAGTTCCATCTTGATGGATGATCAAGAATCAGGGACGTTGTCTCGTTTGCCAAGGCGTCAAAAGTCAGATGGGCTGGACACATAATGAGATTTGGAGACAACCGCTGGACTTGAGTCCTTACCAACTGGATTCCATGGGATGTCAAAAGATCGCATGGCCGCCCACCTACCAGATGGTCAGACTTCTTCGTCAAGACCCTGAACAATCGGTTTGAGGCTCTTTGTGTTCCTAGAACGAGCAGATGCCATTGGGCTAGTGCATGCCGCTAGTGCATGCAACGGGCGGAATGGAGACGTTACTGGTGCCCGTTTGAGCAAATCGATGAGTAACGGGATGTCGAGTGATCAAGTGATTTTATGATAATAACTTCAAACTTGCATGTACACATACTTGCTAATAAATTTCATGAATTGAACAATCAGGAACAAGTTTCATATGTAAAGGAGATTATAGAAAGCTATTAAGACATCTCAGATTTTAAGTTCTGAGTTTAGAGCATTAAAATTTTAGTATATAATAAAAATTTTCTGTTTAAATATTAAGGTAATTCTCAATACCACCATCATTTACTTGGTAAGGAGTTTTCATATAGGCATTGCATCAGTGGACTTAACTTTTTGACCATTTAAAAATTCTGAGTCTCAGTTTATAACTAGCTCCAGTGTAATAGAGTGTCTGTTTTCTATTACCTAATTTCAGGGCTTTGAAATAGCATTGCTTTGCCATGTGATTTTTAATTAACTCAGATTTTGTTTTATTTTAAATCTTAGTAATCATTTTAGAATAAGATATAGCTTATTATCCAAGTATATTTTTGTTTTACAACTTAGGTATTTTAATTTTTTTCCAACAGATGTCAGTGTTTGCTGTAATATTTGAGAAATACTTAAACTTTTGTTGTTAATTTGAAATAATGTTAATTTGAAATTCTTTTAGTTAACCATTTTAAACATTTAATTACCAATTATGTGTTGTCTCCTTGTAATATTGTTTATGGTACATCTTTTTATTAAGTTGACATACTCAGAAGTCTTCTAAACCATATTCTAGGTGTTCCTTTTTCCTTTGGGGGAATTTATGATAAAGATTAATTACAACAAAAAATATGAACTATGATGATAGCCAAAGAATTTATTGTTAATATTTTTCATTAGCTTACAAACCTTGCATAGCAAAGGTCAGTAAAAATTTTCTTTAAAGGGCCAGATAATTATGTTAGCCTTTATGAACTAGAAAGTCTCAGCTTCTCAGTGCTATTCTTGTTTTTTCAAAGCAACTAAAGACAATGCATAAATAGCAGTCATGGACGTGTTCCAGTAAAACCATATAGATAGCAGTATTGGACTGTGACTTCAGTCTGCTAATCCCCTTTTGTAAGATACAACCCATATGTTGTGTACTTGGGGGGATCTCAGCTGGATGTCAAGAGTGTTCAGCCAGGTCTTTTTCCTCTAGGCAGGCTATAAATCTGTGCTTCCTCACACTGCTGGCACTATTCACCTTTCAGCCCTACAGACAGCACATTGTGCTCTGAACCTCACAAGGCTCATCTGTGCACAGCTCAGCCCTCACATATGTAATAATCAAAGCACATCATTCTTCAAGAATACTCTTGCATTTGTGCTTTTCTTCAGTATTTCACCCCACAAAAGCCAAGCTTTCTTGTCTACCTTCTCGGTCAGTGACACCATCACTTGGGCTCCACGTTTTTACCCATCCCCAGACAGAAAGCTGCAAGTAATTCACTTGTTTCTTCTCTCTTCTCTTAAAGTATATATAGACTTTGCTTACCTTTTGTCGAGTATAAAACAACTAACCTCGTGTTTTTTTCAGTTTCATAATTAGCAGTGAATGACAGGTTTGATACAAGCTTATTCTCTGATGACTTGAAGCAAATTTTTCTCCTTATTTTAAACCAGTATTTTTCTTTTCTTGAAAGTTTTTTTATTTATGTTTTTTAATGAATCATCGTGAGATACAGTTACAGACTTACAAACTTTCATGATTGTGCAGTGAAACAATATTCAAGTACTCATCCCTCCACCAGTGCTCATTCTAAGCCAGTATTTTTAATATTGTAATATGATCCTAATATTTGCTACTCTTTTAAATACTGTTTTAGATTCCAGTAAAGCTAATAAAGATACCATAGGAAACAGAAAGGGAAGGCCAAAATTTTGAGTTAGGTGAATTAGGTAGTACGTAATGATAAAAGATGTATACTGTGAGAAGGGGTCCTGCCCAGTTCTGTGCCCTGCCCATTCACTTTTCTTTTACACCTTTTCAGAAATATTTCGTGTCTGAGTTGATCTGTGTATTTTTGAAGGACACATAGATTGGGGGGTTGGGGGTCTGGGCAGGGGAAGGGGAGGGAGCTTCCAAGCAATACTCAGGGAGCCTCACCAGTGTTTTTGGTTTTGGTTTTGGGCCTATACCTAGTGGTGCTTGGGACGTACTCCTGACTCTGTGCTCAGGAACACTTCTGGTGGGCCACAGGGTATCACATGTAGTGCTGTGGTCAGCCACGTGCAAGGCAAGCTCCTTAATCCCGATCCTGTCTGTCCCTCCCTACAGTGTACAATAAAAAAAAGACTCTTACCTAACTCGTTTTTCTATTATATAAGTTCTATAAAATGGTTCCATAAGTTGTTCATCTTTCAGATCAGTGAAAATAACCTTAAGACTTTACAGCCTAAGTATTTTTTAAATAAACATTTTGGCTATCCTTGACACTACTATTAATCATAGTTCTCCATCTGAAGCAAAAAAGGTACTTTAAACATTTTTTTTTTCCTTTTGCTTTTTGAGTCACACCCAGCGATGCACAGGAGTCACTCCTGGTTCATACACTCAGGAATTACTTCTGGCGGTGCCTGGGGGACCATATGAGATTCTGGGAATCGAACCTAGGTCGGCTGCATGCAAGGCAAATGCCCTACCCACTGTGCTATTGCTCCAGCCCCCTAAACTTATTTTTAAAAAGCAGTCCAGTAATGTTGCTATTTTGATCATAATTATGTCTTTTTCTATGCAGTTCATCAATGGTGCTAAGGAAATATGCTATGCTCTTCGAGCTGAAGGATATTGGGCTGATTTTATTGATCCATCTTCTGGTTTGACAGTGAGTAATATATTTTGAAAGCCACATTGTATAAGTTGAAGTAGGAAAAGCCTTGTAATAACCATGGTTAAGGCAAATAATTAAAAAATGCAATTTTCCCAAAGTAGTACAATTCATTCCGTTGCATTCACAATTTTGATGTACCTCTGTACCTACAGTTAAGTTTTTTCATCTTAAATTGTTTTTATTAAAATATTAAATTCTTCCATCCTCAACAGATATGACTTACTATTTGTTAGCTGAAGATTAGTAATCTTTGAAGAAAGAAAACATTTGAGAAAACATTTAAGAAAGACGTGGATGGTAAAAGCATTGTTTAGATATGAAACTTTTTGGAAATTAACATTTATAAAGTTACTCTGAAGAAAAGAGCTAAATGACTGGTCATTTTTAACTTGGGAATATTTCTCAGTTACAACTAGTAATTTTTTTTCTGGAGTATACTATTCTCAAAGTCAAGTAAGAAATAGTATAAACTGTAAAAGAAAACTTATTCTGGCTTTTGTTTTCTTATCTTGAAAATAATGAAGGTAAATCATAGATTATCATCTAAAATTTATTTCATGTTTAAAAGCAGTGTTTATTTGGTTCTAAGTTATACAAAGTTTGCTGAATCATTAATTTCACATCTCCAGAATTCACATGAGAAGAGGGAATAATATCAGGACATTTTAGGCGTTGCATGCAACCTTTGTGTTTTGTGTTCATGTTGACTTAAAAAATATTATCCCATTGTCTTTCTTGCTAATGAAAACTTGTTTTTTTTTTATTTCCTTTAGTTTTTTGGACCTTATACAAACAACACTCTTTTTGAAACAGATGAACGCTACCGACATCTAGGATTCTTTGTTGATGATCTTGGCTGCTGTAAAGTGATTCGTCATAGTCTCTGGGGTACCCATGTGTTTGTAGGAAGTATCTTCACTAATGCAACACCAGACAGCCATATTATGAAGAAATTAAGTGGAAACTAGTAGTAATGACAAGTTATTTGCTGTACTAGTTTTACTAAACATTTGGGTTGCTCTATAAACACTTGTCAAAGGCTTCAGTTTTCAAATTTTAGTTATTTCAAGGTATTTATTTCAACATTTGTGAATTTACAGCTTTGGCAGTTGGTTTATGATAATTTAAATCTCGAATGGTCATCTATTGAATACCTGTTGAGCACAGACATTGTACAAAATATGGCAATTAACACGCAACCAGGATCTTCCCCCTTTTATTGGAAATGCCTCATTTTATTTTTCTTTAAAAATAAATCACACATTTCGTTATGGTACTTTTTTTGTTGCTGTATTTTTAAAATGTACATTTCAAAGATTCCTCAAAAACTGCAGTATTCTTATAATTTTTTAATAAATGCAATTAAGAATTCTAAATTCATTGTAGTTTAACTCTTCCTAATTTTTTTTCTTTAATCTAAATATTTTTGGTACCAGCCTGAGTTTTACTTTGAAATAATCTATAGGCAGCAAGAGGGTAAGGATATGCTACCACATCTTTATGTGTAAAAAGTAGTGTTGGTCTCATGTACTAAAAAAGTTCTTAACTGCTGCTTGAGACATAATTACACAATTTCATACAAAACTATACCTCAGCTGTTGAATTTTATTTCTACAGCTTTAGCAGTAGATGGAAACTGTTACACCTTATGAAAAATGCTTCTCTTTTATTGGCAGAGTTTGTTTATACATTCTTGTTAACCATCTTCAGAACCATCTTCAGCTTTAAGGCTCTTGCCATATTGGAATATGCATGGATCCCAGAACAATTCATTTCTATCAGACTAAGTAAATGAATTGAAATTGATTTTCTTTTTTTAAGTAAATGCCCAGTATTTTAAAGAAATACCTGAAGATGACCAACTGTTTCATTTAGTTCACATAGAGCTTCATAGTATGTATGGTTTATGTTTCAAAAGTAAGAGCCACAAAGTTTTCATTGTCAGAGAAATGAAGTGGTGATAGCTCTCTGTGTGTGCTTGTGTGTGAGAGAGACTGTACATAGAGTTAACACACACATGCACATTTATAGGCAGAAATGTGCCAATGCACATATTACAGTAAGACTCAATATTCATGTATGTAACCAGCACCCAAATTAAAGCAACATTGGTATGTCAGAGGCTTATCCTACTCCGTTGGCACTCCCTTCCCAGTGATAACTGTAATACTGATTTCTTTTAAAACGCAAATTGGTTTTGTCTGTTTTCTTTGTAAAACCTTTGTTCTCTTTTCTATTCACAATTATGTTTACTTTGTGTCTAGTTTCTTTCAATAATAGGAGATTAACCTTTACTAGATATATAATTGTCAGTTGTGTATTTTCATAGCTGTTCCGGATTGGGGCAGTTTTGCTCAGGACATCAGAATACTGGGGATATATTGTCACAATGTGTAGCAGAAGAGGGGTATGCATCTAGTAGGTACCAGGGATACTGCTCATATTCTACAATATAAAAGACAACTCTCACAAAAGATCCTCCAGTCCGTTACCTTTCTTTCTCCACTCTCTTTGAGCGTTTATACAGCAGTGCACATCTGTGAGCATGAGCTTATTCAGGCATTTCCTTCCACCTTACACAGGTCTTAAACCTCATTCCTGATTTTCAGTATTGTGCTTTCGCATTCTGAAGTGCCATCTTCTGATTGAAATAGATACTCATTACTCAGTTCCTCTTAAGTGCCTTTGGCTAGCAACAGTTTGTTTAGGGTGTGGGGGGAGCATTGTACCTAGTTGTCTAATGTTCTTTTCAGAAGCAGGACATAAGAACCACTGTCACTGTCACTCTCCTCCCGTTGTTCATCAGTTTGCTCGAGCGGGCCCAGTAACATTGTGAGACTTGTTACTGTGTTTGGCATATCGAATACACCATGGGTAGCTTGCCAGGCTTTGACCCGTGTACATGAGAACCAGTAATTGCCAATTAAAGTTTGTGCTGAAGTATTATCAAAATATTCATATTTGGGAAATCATTTGAGACTTTCTGCTAATAGAAAATGATTTACCATTTACAAAGTAGTAAGACAACATTACAGGTAGTAGTTTCACATTTACAATCAGGATGGCATGAAGAAAGAATGTGTAACTGTAACCTGTATTTAACATAAGTTTGCTGCTTTTAGAAATAAGCAATTGAAATCACTGTTAAGTCTGAAAAAATAAAACATACTAGAACTTGATAATTCTTGAATAGCTGGTAAATGCTGTTGATAGAGAAATATTCGTACTTTGGTGATGGGTGTGGTATAGCTGGTAGCCTTAGGAAGAGGTATGAAATTGTATCCACTAATGTATCATCTTGTAATCCAGGATTGCCTCAGTGAAGATAGGGAGTGAGGAGGGAAACTAAATGCTGAAAGGAATCTTTCAAGTCACTTGACAGACTTCCCTCAGAGTAGAACAAGATTTGGATTTTTTTTTTCATAAAATTGTTCACAATAATTGATTACATTCAATATTTCAACATCAATTCCACCACCATTACACCTTCCCACCACCATTATTTCGAATTTTACCACTGCCTCTCAAGCCCGCACTACCGGCAGATGCTAGATAATTTTGTATTGCTATGAATAGTATGAGATATCTGTAAGGGTCTATTTTATAGTCATTCAATAAAAATGTTTTTTAAAAAAAGATAGTAAGATAGTTTGAGATGTCCTGGAATTCTAAAACTTTAAATAATTGGGGTCCAGAGACATCTCTGCAGTGATTTACTCGATTCCAATATTCATTTGTGAGTCTCGGAAACTTTTTTACTTCATTTGCAAACTACAAACTGGGCGGCTAATGAGAACCATGTATCTCTCTCATACCAGGGCCATACCATATGATTTTGGGGGCATGGATGTGGGGGACTCTGCAGGCTGGATCTTCCCATTCTGGGGTTAAAAAAAAAAAAAAACAGCATCATACAGGAGCTTGCACAAGTATTAAGACTTAGTACTGGAACTTGGCCATGATTCCAGTATTTGTATCTATTGGTGCTTCATGGTTACTAGCAAGACATTTATCAAAGAATTGCCCATTTAAGTTTAAATAAACTATTCCACTTAAACTCAGCATGCTTTTCATTTTTTAAAATTCAGTAAAACATCTAAAATACTACACATCCGTGAACCTGACTTTTTTAGTTTGTAACATTTGTAACAACAAAAATCTTACATTTGAACAAATGTTCCCCTTTTTTAAAGATTTTCTTTCCTCTTATGACTACTTCTCTTGTTGCATCCAAAACAGGGTTAATATACCTCACTTGTATTTGAACCAAGTAATGCTTTATTGTTGGGAAATAGGTCCTGCGCATTTAGTATGTGAAGCATGATGATTGTGGCGTCTAGTTTTGTGAGTCAGTAGCAACCTGTCTGGGTCATGACAGTAATGCCTCCATACATTCCTCTTACCAGAAAAAAACTTCAACCAGGTGGTTTGTACTTTAGCTACGTTCTTGAACATTGTATCCCCGCTAAAATTTTTTAAAACACTGATTGATACCCACACCCACAACAGAGTTGATTTCATTAGTCTATAAAACTTGGGCATCAGATGTTTTTAAGTTTCCCAGATGCTTCAAGATAGTAGGTTATAGTCATTACCTATATTAAAATTCATTAATAATAGTTTAAAGAGTCATCTTTAGAAATAAAAGCAAATACAATGAACGCAATATAGAAATGAAATAATAGTTACAAAAGTCATCAGAAACTTCATCAAGTGACCTAATTGGACCCAAACCAATTTAAAGTTGTTTTTTTTCCCAACCCCCACTGCTAAGAAACCTTTTCATAACTTGCTTACCAGTCTTTCATTTGTATGGCTCTTTCACACCACATCATTTTGCTTTTAACACACACAATTGCTGGTATTTAATTGTCATACCGTTTTTCTTACGAAAGGTAGGAAGCCAGTTGTCTTTTGAAACAGCACTAAACAGTAATAACACTAAGCAGTAGTCTTCATTCTCGTTATGAGTAAAGGTATTTAAAAGTTTTCTTTGCCCTCCCCTCTCTATGTCAGTAGAATTTAAATTATAATAATGTGCAAAAGATTTCAAAGCTTTGAGCATGTGGCTTCCAGTAATATTATTGAAAGCTATACACCTAAAGCTATGTTGCCAAGGGAAAGCTGTACTAGTTAATGGCACACAAACTGACCAATGAGGAAAAAAGCCCTAGGAAACAAATTTTATGACAAAGTTTACAGTACAATGAAAGAATTATTTCACTATATATTTGTGGATAAAATGGATTTATAGGGAAAAAAGACCTTTGTTGGCATGGGATACACCTGTGGTGTGCAGGGAGATTACTGATCAAACTAGGGTCTGCCAACATGTCTGAATACAATGCAGACATAGCCCTACCTCCTATACTAGCTGGCTCAAGGGAAAATTTTTTCTTTTTTGCTTTATATAATAATCAGTTTCAAATGAATTGCAGGTCTAAATTTAAGTTTTCTTAGATCTTGAGTAGGCAAGGATTTTCCTTTTTTTTACATACCACCATCACGGTCACCGTCCTCCCATTGTTCATCGATTTGCTCAAGCAGGCCCAGTAACGTCTCCATCATGAGACTAGTTGTTACTGTGTTTGGCATATTGAATATGTCACGGGTAGCTTGCCATGCTCTGCCGTGCAGGTGAGATACTCTCAGTAGCTTGCCGGGCTCTCCGAGAGGGGCGGAGGAATCAAACTTGGGTCGGCCATATTGGCTGCGTGCAGGGCAAACGCCCTACCGCTGTGCTATCGCTCCACCCCTGTGCATCACCGGGTGTGACTCAAAAGTAACAAAGTATGAGATTAATACCCAAGAATAGCTGAGATCAGCACCAGGAGGATTACTCCATAACTTAGAAGCCAGCCGGGTATCCTAGAGGAAAGGGCAGTTCAGATAGACAAGGGAGCACCAAATAAAGGATGTTTGGAGGATCCTCCCAGGAGGGGAGATGCATGTAGAAAGTAGACTATGGACTGAACATGTTTGCCACTCAATGCCTCTTTTGCAGACCACAACACCCAAAAGGAGAGAGAGAACACAGGGGATTGCCCTGCCACAGAGACAGGGGGGATGGGGGGATGGAGGTGGGAGGGATATTATCCATGGTGGTGGAAAATGGGCACTGGTGGAGGGATGGGTATCTGATCATTGTATAATTGAAACCAAAGCACAAAAAATTGTAAATCTACAACTTTAAATAAAATAAAATAAAGGGGGAAAAAAAACGCTATATACATATATATATAATGTATATATATCATGTATATATCACATATATAT